TAATCAATTTTAATGCTAATTAAAATGTAAATATTAAAGTTTTCTATAAAACCCCAAATGATCTAGTTATTTGTCTGTAGAGGTTGGCACCATGCAAAAATTCTTTAACCGGTTAATTAACCATTAAAAATAAGAGTTAACCAGTTAACTGGTTAATTTTAGAAACGGTTAACCGGTTAATCGGTTAACTTTATTAACCGGTTAATTTAGTCACGTGAAAAATTTTAATTGGTAAATTCAATCGTTCGTTACAAAATAATCACATTCCTGTTGAATTTCATTATTATACACTTCATAGATAGATTCTAATGGTTATGATAGGAATTTAATTGACATTTAAACTAAATTTTATTTAGTCAAAATCAATCTCACAATAAGGATTATTTCTTTTCAAAAATAAGAGCTCATTAACAAGTTTAGGTGCTAAACATGTACGCTTAGGATTTATTTGATTACCAGCATCACTGAAAAGCCTTTCAGCAGGCACAGATGTTGCTGGTATTGATAAATATTTTCTGGATATTTTTGAAAGAATTGGAAACTCACTTTTCCTTGCTTTCCACCAAGCCCAAGGATTTTCTGATTGATGTGCCAAAGGAGTTAAACGAAGATCCAAATATTTATCGACTTCAGATATCTCATCATGTTCTTCATTATCAAAAATTGATTCAAAAAAATTAGATGAATATCTTGATGTTTCTGACAAATTTGAAGAATTTTCATTTACTGAAATTTCATTTTCCTCATATTGTAGATAAATTTCTTTTAATTTTTCTATTGTGTTTTGTTTAGTGTTGTAATCAAATAAAGACAATCTTTTCAAACGAGGATCCAATATAGTTGCCAGTAAACCAAGATCTGAAGTTTTATCCCAATAATCAAATAAAGAATTATAAATTTTTCGCTGAAAATTTAATGCAACATTGTTAAGATTTGGTCTTGGTGGAATTGAAGTTCGTGATCGGGTAAAATGTTTATGAATTAATGGGTCATCATCATTGTTATTATTGTCACCATTATTGTCATCATCATCATCATCATTGTCATCATCATCATCATCATCATCATCATCATCATCATCATCATTGTCATTGTCATTATCATCATCATCATCATCATTATTGTCACTGGTATCATCATCACCTAAAAACAAATTATTTAGAAATTATTATAACATATTATAATCAACAATACACACTTATATCAAATTCTTTACCATCCTGCTCTTCTCCACATGCAAACTTTACTTTTAATTTTTGTATGATTGGATACATTAATGATAAAGTGGGATATCGAGCACCAGAAAAAAAAGTTGTTGCCTCTTCAAAAGGTTTAAGAAGTGACAAAATTTTTTCTAGCAATTCCCATTCATAATTCTTCAATAATAAATATTTAAGCCTACGAGCATCAGATTTAGAATCTTTTCCAGGTTCATAAGGTAAAGTATTTGCCAACCATTCAATTGACTTTCGCAACTTCAACAATCTAACCCATGAATTATAAGATGCATTCCACCTTGTTTTAACAGCTGCCACATTTCTTAATATGTTTATATTGTTTAAATTAGTTTCTTGATCATCATCATCATCATCATCATCATCATCATCATCATCATCATCACTACCATTATCATTATTGTTATTACCATTATCATTTCCATCATCATTACTTTGAAAATGTATTAAATTATTCTGACCCAAATCTTGTTGTTGACCACCACGTACAGAAATTTCTAATTGAGCATTATTTAACCTTTCAGTTTGTTTTGGAGATGATGTGAAAAATTTAACCAATTTTTTAAATCTTTTGACATATGGTTTGATTGATCCAAGTGCTTTATTTATAGTTAATTGAAGTACATGAGCAGTGCATGGAATTCGTTCAACTTCTTCCCACAACTCAAATGCTTTTTTCATGTTACTTCCATTATCAGTTATGCCACAAATTAATTTCCCTTCAAGCCCAAATTCATTAATTTTATTTTTTAGATATTCAAGAATCGTTTGATTTGAATGTGGATATGGCATTTTTTCAATTGCGAGTAGGACATCAACTAGTTCAAAATCTGGTGTAAGCCAGTGGCATGTAACACCTATGTAACCTACTTTAGATCTTGCTGTCCATAAATCAGTAGTGATAGTTGCAGTATCACAAGTTTCTCTTATTAGATTGATTAATTTTTTTTTTTGTAATATGTATGCTTTTGTAATTAGGTTTTTTGTTGTTTTGTTGTTTGGGATACGAAACCTTGGATCCAATCTTTTCATGAATTGTTTAAACCCATTGCCTTTCATCACATTAAATGGCAAGGAATCCAACACAACCCATTTTGTAGCAGCACATTGAAGTTCTCTCATTTGTTTAGGGGGGTGTTCTTTGATCTTTTCAAACATTTCAACAACTGTTCTTTGATTAGTTTTTTTTTTCTAAAAAAAAAAAAATATTATTATATATAATACATAGATTTACTTTAATAATTATTCATTTATAAACATACTTGTTCTTGAATAAAAATTTCATGTCTATGTATTAAATGATAGTTCAATGTTGATGTAGATACTGATTTTCTTGAATATTTGGAACCACAATTTGATACATTACATTTAATATTATTTCCATCATCTTCAAAATAATCCCAGGTTTTGGATTTTTTATTACGTATTTTCCCAATAATATTTCTATTACTTCCAAGGTTATCTCGTGTGTCATTAGACATATTACCAGTATCAAAACCCTCATTATCTTCAGCTTCATTAAATGGTTCATAATGTTCACTTGTTACATCCATTGTTACAATATTATGAGCTAATGAAAGAATGCAATATTATTTATTATTATGCGTGAGAATTAATAATTGCATAAATGCAAAAAATGGAAAAATGAAAATACACTTCTGACAAAACTTTTCTTTTGGTGAAATTGGATGATATTGTTGAACCAGCTTCAGATGGAGCAGGTGGTAATGTGTGTTCTGACTGAATCTAATGCTGATAAATTTTCAGCTTGTTTAATTATTAAAATAAATAAAATTTTATAATTCTTTTTTTAAATATATATTTTTTCTACCTTTCTTGGCTCCAAGTTTCAGGTGATGAATTAATATACTCTATGAATTTATTTTTATGAATTTTATGAATTATGAATTTTATGAATTATGAATTTTATGAATTATGAATTTTATGAATTTTGTTGAATTTATAGTTAACGGAGAATATGGAGAAGCCACAAGGTGAACATTATTGTACAAATTAATCATGTGGCTTTGTCATATGGTTATGGGAACAAAAAAAAACAAAAGAATTGCCATATTATTAGGAAAAGATTGTAGCAGCAGTAGCAAGCAGTGGTATCATTATTATTAAGTCATTAATTAAAAAAATATTAATATATGGTTAACTGGTTAAATTAACCGGTTAATTTTAACCAGTTAATCAAAAAGAATTAACCAGTTAAAAAAATATCTTAACTGGTTAACCATTTAATTGCAGTTAACCGGTTAACCATGGTTAAACGGTGCCAACCCCTAAACCAAAGCGAAGGATCAATGCAGAGAGATCCATCTGCATTTGAGCTTGTTGAAAGAAGGCCAAGGCAATGTGGTATATGTCGTCAAACTGGTCATAATAGCCGAACATGTCCTACTGTGTTAAATAAATTTGTAAAAATAATTTTTTTTTTAGTAATGTTTTTTTGAATTAAAATGTGTGACGTTTTTATTGGCTTATCTTTGTTCTTAGTCACGTGGGGGTGCGATTAACAAAAATGGGGGGTGCGATTAACAATTCCCTAAAAATATCGTTAAATATAAATGATAAGAATAATATTATATATCTATCCTATATAAGTATAAAAAATTTGTATTTTAATAATCTCCTATTTTATTAATAATCCAGCTTTTCATACATAAACATGCTCTTGCAGTTTCTGGCAACAAACGATTTCGAGTTTTACTAATTGTATTTCCAGCAACTGAGAATGCCTGTTCTGATGCAACACTAGTTGCTTGAATGGTAAGATAATCTTGCGCCATATTACTTACAATTGGGTATTCTTTGGCATGTGCCTGCCACCATAATAGAGGTTCTGTTTCTTCATCTATTGGTAATGCAAGATAACGATTTAATTCTGATATTAAAGGTGCTGAAGCAATTTGTGGTGTTGGGTTACGAAGAAGTTGTGTGAAAAGTCTACGAGTTGCATTTGTGGTAAATGTAGATGATGATAACCTTCTTGCAGGAGATTGTGTATTGGAAGAATTCTGGTAAGTTTCAAAAATTGCTTGAATATGTTCACAAGCATTTTGTCTATTTCCTCCTGAAAAGACTGAGAGTTTGGTTCGAGGGTCTAAAACTGCTGAAGCAATTGAAGAACTATTCATAATTTGCCAATACTCTTCAATTTTTTGAAATATTGATGCTGCCATTTCACTCTGTGTGAAGCCTTCTTTTCCTATTTCTTTTTGCAGATACACCTGGATGCTTTTAAAGATAAGATGAACATCACCCATAGTTGGATACGATGATGCTGAAAGGTGGTTTGTGGCTTGTTCAAAGATTTCAAGAAGTGAGAGAGTATTCTATAGGGTATGATGAGAATATTGGATATTAGTTTCAATGTTTTCATATGTGAAGCTTAAAATCCGTTGTAACACAAATTTATTTATAATTCATTTTGTGGTAAAATTACTAATATCAATTTACCTTAATTATAATCCAATCATTTCTATTAGGACAAAGATTCTTGATGTTGTTATTATCAGCAGCAAGTAAAACCAATGCTGGTTCAAGTTGTTCCAAACATTTTAACATATAGTAAGTTGAGTTCCAGCAGGTCTCCACATCCAAAACTGGTTTATAATCATGGATATGTTTTAAAGTACAAAAGCCACGAAGTTGATCACAGAGGAGAGTTGAAATTTTAATTTTATTCATTAATTCACGTACTTTATTAATTGTATCACTAACTAGTTCTAATCCTTGCTTAACACCTAAGTTTAAAACATGTGCTGCACAACAATAATGTGCAAAAGTCATTGAAGAAAATTGACTATCAAGGGATTCAGCAAGTTTTCTTCCACATACAACCATTGCAGATTCATTATCTGTGGTTAGTGCAATTATTTTACTAGAAATATTGAATTCATCTAATATGCGTATAATCTCCCTTGTAATATTTTCTCCAGTGTGTCTAGTGGTAAAAGAGATGATATCAAGTAGAAAATTGCAGAGTTTCCAGTTTGAATTTATATAATGTATGGTTATTCCTAAAAAGGCTTCACGATTCATAGAAGTCCACATATCAACTGTCAATGAATATTGTCCCTCGATTTGATGAAGTTCATTAGCAATTTTTGTTCTTCGATTATTAAATGCATCAATTATAAAATTTTTTACTTGGTGTCGCTCAGGAATAGTATAGCGAGGACAGAAGTGGCTAACAAATTTTCTAAAGTAAGGGTTGTCAACAGTGGTAAAGGGCTGGAGATCACAGATTAACCATTGAATAAGGTATTTAGTATGTTCTATTTGTTCTTGTTCATAAAAAGGTTCAATTCCGGTAATTGTTCTTTGTCTCCTAGCAGGTACCTGCATTTGGTGATGGTCTTTGAGATGTTTACGAAGTGTTGAAATACCTGTTGTTAACTTGTACTTAATTGTACATTTTTTACAAACATTATATCCTAGTGCGTAAGATGGATTCTTATCAAAATGTTCCCATACAAGACTTGATGTCAATGTTGATGAGGTAGTAGAAACATTAGCATCTGTTGTTTCCGATTGTGCATCACCAAAAACTTGACTAGAATCAAAAGTTCATATTATTAAAATTTTCTTGATAGAGGTCTTGGTTATCAAAATTTTCTTGGTAGAGGTCTTGGTTATCAAAAGTTTGTTGATCCATTTTCTTTATTATAATTATTAATTTTTAAGATTTGTTATTAAAGAATTATTAATTTCAAAAGATTAAGATTTATTATATCAATGAATTATTAATTTGAAAGAATAAAAGTTTATTAATTTTGAGGAATATATAACTGTAAGGTTGTTTTATTATATCAAAGATATTGCTTCAATGGCAAGGGAATAATTATCCTTTTTATAATAGTTAGAAAAATTACAAAATTACAAAAATGGTGAAATTGCAAGAGTCATTATGGGTTAATCAAAATTATCCATAATCATTTACAATTATTATATGTCCAAATGGTCAATTGGTTAAAAGGCTTTATTTTTGATCTGTTTTATTTTTTTAATCTGTTATTCTATTCTATTATCATTTACAATTCTTTTATGTCCAAATGGTTAATTGGTTAAAAGGCTTTATTTTTTATCCGTTTTATTTGTTATATTTGAATAGGAACCCTAGTTAAAAGGCTTTATTTTTTAATCTGTTATTCTATTCTATTAAATGATCATTTACAATTCTTTATGTCCAAATGATTAATTAGTTAAAAGGCTTTATTTTTTATCCGTTTTATTTGTTTTATTTGAATAGGAACCCTAATTAAAAGGTGTTATTTTTTTAATCTGTTATTCTATTCTATTAAATAATCATTTGCAATTCTTTTATGTCCAAATGATCAATTGGTTAAAAGACTTTATTTTTTATCCGTTTTATTTGTTTTATTTGAATAGGAACCCTAGTTAAAAGGCATTATTTTTTTAATCTGTTATTCTATTCTATTAAATAATCATTTGCAATTCTTTTATGTCCAAATGATCAATTGGTTAAAAGGCTTTATTTTTTATCCGTTTTATTTGTTTTATTTGAATAGGAATCCTAATTAAAAGGCATTATTTTTTTAATCTGTTATTTTATTCTATTAAATGATCATTTACAATTCTTTTATGTCCAAATGATCAATTAGTTAAAAGGCTTTATTTTTTATCTGTTTTATTTGTTTTATTTGAATAGGAACCCTAATTAAAAGGCGTTATTTTTTTAATCTGTTATTTTATTCTATTAAATGATCATTTAGACAAATTGTCAATTGGTTAAAAGGCTTTATTTTTGATCCGTTTTATTTGTTTATTTGAATAGGAACCTTAGTAAAATGCTTTATTTTTTAATCTGTTATTTTATTCTATTAAGTGATCATTTAGA